GGACCTGGGCTAGGACTGGGTCTCTCCCTGTCTACTTTAAGGCTTCTAAGTACAAACAGAAAACTTACCGCCTTAGCTACAGGGGCTGCATAGCACATCGCAGCAAGCATTCCATATCCAGCAAAATAAAATTCCCTTAGGCGAGGTGCTTTTGCTTTGCTTTGTTTACTGCATCTGTAAACATTCAATATTTTTGTGCATTAGACCAAAGCATCCAAGTCTCTGGCTGACATGCTGAAGTCATGCACAGTTACAGTGCTTTACAAAGGAACATTTACAACCACTTTCCCCTTTGCATGTTGAGTAATCCCATGAGGTCAAAGGGAGATTTCGTCCCCCTGTCATGGTTGTCAAAACCCAGGCTCAGATTAAAGGGCTTCTCTGTGACCTGATGGATGGTGAATGGAAGAGATAAGGACTGACCTGGTCAGTACTCTGTGCTCCATGTAAACCAGTGTCACACCACTGGTTTGTTGTGTACAGTGTGCAACACGATAAAATGTGTAGGGCATTCTTTAAAATCTTTATTTGATTAGAAAATAACTTCTTACTGTGAAAAAGTCCACCACCTTGAGCAGTAGATGCAGAGTCACAGGGAATTATATTTAGTGGTTGGAGTCCCTCTATATGGGGCAGTGTTACAGGAAATAAAATCAGAGAAGCAGTCTAGAAGGCTGTGGGTGAAACCTATACTCTTGTCTTTGTAGACATATTGCTTACTGCTGGCATGAGTCTAGTCTTAGGGGAGGAATGGTTTTTAGGAGGAGAGAAAAAAGTACCTCCCAAAATTCACACCCAGTTTGCAATAGGACTAACACTCACATGTGGACTGTTCCAGTGATTTCTCTTGCTAATGAGGACATGACTTGGTGCATAAAACCCCTTTACACTTAAAAAGGGTTGGCAGCAGATTGTCCACAGTGATGTGCAATGTTCCAAACCCTTCATTTTCATATTCCAAAGTGCATATGTTTGTTGCCCACTTGGCACAGAGTAAATGGGTTCATTGTGCTTTGGATTTTGTCATATCTGCTATGTGTGAAAGCAAAGCAAGGCTTGTTACTTGCAAGCAGCCTCAAGAACAGAGGGACAAATGCAGGGACTCTGGGCAGAGAAAAGCGTTCAAGGGAGAGGGTCCTTCACTTGCATATTGGAGAAAGATGCCAGTCAACCTGAGGTTTATTTTTCTTAGGACAAGCTGACTCTGCAGTGTGCTCCCAAGTTCCTTTAAAATCAGAGTTTAGTAAAATATTTAGTGGCTCCTAAAATATTTGTGGAAAATTTTTTTCTTAAGGCTAGAAGAAGGAGTAGCCCCTTGAAATTTTGTTTGTAAACTTGTTTCACTTTTCTGTAAATGCTCAACTAAGATGAAAGTGCCATATTATAATACATTTGGGCTAATGATGATAAAATAATCTTTGCATTGCTTAATCACTGGTAACATGTTGCCAGTAGGTTTCAAACTTTGTTACCCATGTGGAGGTGGGGCCTAGAAACATGGCTAACTTTCTCAGCCTTCACAATCATCTTCCTTGCTCTACTGATCACAGCCAAGTAGGACCTTCCTGTCACCAGGGATAGGACTTCCTGGGACTCACCAAATTAATCAGAAGCTATCTTTTCCCTCCAAAACAACTGCCTAGGAAGTGGCCAGTTGCATAAAGCAATAGCCATGTATGTGGTTACTCATAACTCCGGAATGCTGACTTGATCGTAATAATAAATGGAGCTAACAGAGCAGAAAGAAATGTTCAAAACAGATTAAAACCATGGCTTTGAAATGTTCTCCATCCTGAGCACTGGCTAAAAATACATTGTAATCTCTGCTCATCAGAACAATTCTTTTTCCCCCAAAGTTGAGTCATATGCCGTAGTGGAATGAACCACATCCTGAAGCCTTTCCATCTTTCCTGCTTTTGAACATGCTTTAACCATTGATTTGATGTGTGGAAGCCAAATCGCCATTCTATTGTTTTGGTCATGGAGACGCCAGGTTGATTTTATGATGATCTCTGAGGCAGCTCTGTGGACAGAAGCTGAGCTGGCATCCCGTCCACTGCTTGCAGTAAGCCAGCACAACTGCTTGCTGAGGGCAGTTAGCACAGGCCAGTCTCTCAGTAATGGTCATTTGTGAGCTCAGCCCAGGGCCAGGGAGAGCAAAGAATGTCCAAAGTGGCAGGGTTTATTCTTCTGAAGGCTTCCAGACCCAGCCAACTCATTTCCATTATGTTTGTGATCTCAAGGGGACCCATGAGCAGGGAAAAACAGAGGGCATTTTGCTGACGTGTGGGTTTTCTTTGTTAGGACTTGGTGCTTAATTCAATGTTCTTTCTAAATGTGTGCTGGTGATTGGGCTTGGATGATGAGCAGCACTTGATGTTAGGAGCAGGCTCAAGGAGTCCTGGAACTGGGAAAGGAGCTCTCAACAAGAAGCTATGTTGTTTCTTCCATTTGTATGTGTGTACGTGTGAAGGGTCACAGGAGGCTCTTCCTGAAGTCCTGGTTTTGATAGCACTGAGGGGCCCACACAAACATCAACTCCTGCTAACGAAAATAAGCCCGAAGCAGTCAGCCTGTTTCATTCCTTTGCAATTACAGCCCTTGTGCTCAGCCCTCTGGGAAACAGCACTTTCATTCATTTTGGCCTTTCCCGCATGGCTGGGGGCAGTTCATCAGACAAAGAAATCATTATAGATTCAAATCATGCACTCTCCCCCAAAGTAGACTTCTTGTTCTCACTCTTTCTTCCCGGGAGAACTCTTGAGTGATTTCCCTATCAGTCAGCAGAGGACCTGAGGGTGGGCCAGGGATGGGGGGTGGCTGTAGGAGAGGTTGAAGGGCACCCAGCACAGACCTTTCTGAGAGCTGCTTCCCTGGCTTTGGCCCTGAGGGCAGATTTGTGTGCTTATAAATGGGGGTGGGAGATTGTAAAGGTCTCAGATAAAAGTATACTTGAAAACTGTCACCTAATGTGGCCTGTCTTCCACAAATGCAGTTTTTGACAAGAGCTGGAGATGGAAGATTAATAACTTCTGTTCAGTGAGCGCGCGCACACACACACACACACACACACACACACACACACACAAAGCAAGGTCCGGGGCAGGTTCAGGAGCCAGTGTTTAATGCCTCCTGGAGGTGAGCTCAAGGGAAATCTTGCAGTAATGCATCACTGAATGGCTGGATCCCAAACAGATAATGGGGCAGATTTGGGGGAGCCTGAGAGGTCTAAAGCCCTCTAGGGGAAGCAGTCTGGTTTGGGGGGCAGAGTAGAGGGTTCTAAGCAGCAGCTGGATCTGTTGATCAAGTGAGTCATGGAAGCAGGCTCTGTAAGGCTCCCTTTGCTGGAATACTACAGAACCCACTTCTAGAGATTGTGTGTTCCCTCCCTCTGAAGATGAAAACCTTTCTTTGTACTTGTGTAATCTTATAAAAGACTCAGTTTGGGGCAACATACTTGGGTCCCCTTCTGTCTCTCTCTCAGTCAGAAGCTTTCTTTTCCTCAATAAATATATTCTGCTCTTAAAAGAGAAAGGTAAATGGAAATTCTTAAAACTCTAAGCAGAAAAACAGTAAATGTGGCTTTCATAAATAAAATTACTTTCACATGGACCTATATGTAAGGGCTAGGAAGTCAGACTTTGTATTGTATTATCGGCAATGTTACCAGAGAAGCAAAAAGTCTGAGAGACACAGCAAGAAGAAGTGGGGGCGGGGGACAGGGAATGATCCTGCAGCAGTCCATTCCGTGAACCTCTGTGATTTGGCTGATGAACCAAGCAGAGGTTTACGGGGCGATTCCACGTGTGTGTTCCTAGGTCGAGGGAGTACTTTTGAAAAGGCGGCTCAAGTTTACAGTTCATCCCCACCCAGGGAGGCTGTTTTCCATGTCTAATCATAACAGATTCCAAGAGTTGGTGATTAAAAAAGAATCATGGGAAGGGCTGAAATATTTTCAATACATCTGTGATGAGTCATTCTTTTCTTCTCCCATCATCTTAGGTGTACGGAGGCCCTGATTTCCACGCTCCTAGGCTAACCCAGCTCTGTGCCCAGAGGTCATCTGTGACTCCCATGCAAGTCTCCAGCACAGGGAATGAGCTCACAATCCGATTTAAAACAGACTTCTCCATCAATGGGAGAGGCTTCAATGCCTCCTGGGAAGCACTCCCTGGAGGTGAGTGGAGAAAAGGTGGCAGGCACCCTATGGTACTCTAGCTGACCCCCACTGAAACTGTGTGACATGGTTGGAGAAAGTTTGGAATCCGGACCCTGATAACTTTGGAACTTCACAATGGCTAGTACTGCATTGGCATTTACACTGCCCTAAAACATGTCATAGAGTTGAATTTTCTCCATTGCCCCATGCACATAGAGACAAAGACACAGACAGGCACACAAGTCCACGTTGAGAGCAGAAGTGGGGACGATGGCCACTCGCATTTGCTGGCCCAGGAACTTGGGCCCATTTCCCAGTCCAGGTTCTTGTATCAGTAAATAGAGGTCCCTTCATGCTGCAGTATAGACCTTCAGATTCTTGGCAAATAGGAACTCTGTAAATACTGAATTTGTCAATTCCAAGGAATAACTGTGTTGTTTGTTTGTCTGTTTGTTTTTGTGGTACCGGGAATTAAATTTAGGGCCTTGTGCTTGCCAGGCACATGCTTATGCTGCTGAGTTATATCCCTAGCCCCAGGAATAACTGTGTTGGGTAGTGACATTCTGTCTAGAGTTTTAGATAGTCTAAATAAATCGCCTATGTGCAGATTTTTAAATTACACATTATATGTTTCAAAGTATTTTCATACTTTATTTTATGAAATTGAATAATAGTGATATTTCCAGAGTGCTTACTGTATGCCAGTTACTTTTCTAACTACTTTTCAAAGGTTATCCCATTTAAATTTATAATTGTACTATGAATGAAGTCTACTTTATATCCTCAACTTAAACATAGGGAAACTGAGGCTTACAGAAGGCAGTGATTTGCCTTAAGTCTCAGAGCTAGAAATGTCAACACAGAATTGTGATACCAGCCCACCTTATAGTTCTAGTTCTTTAACTCCAAGGTAACACAGTCATGACATGGAATCTCTCTTAAAGTTATTTACATAGGAATTTACAATACAGTCCTTAGATTATCCCTGAATGATTCTTAATTACTAGAACAGAATGCTGTCATGTTTCTATTAATGGTTTATATTATTATAAGCCCAAACAATAATGTTAATAAAGATAGATTTTGAATTAACAGGTATTTGATAATGCCATAGAAATTAAAAACAACACAAGTAATTGTACTATATCTATTTGTACTATATTATTTGTTAAGTCTAATATTACTGAATTAGCAAATACTTTGAAGGAATGATTATTTTTCCATTATGCTTTATTTTAGAAAGCAAGGAAGAGACAGTTCATGGCTTTGTGAAAGCATGATTTGTTTTTCTTTTATTTTTCATTATTATTTTAAATAACTTTGGACATTCTTCTTTAGAGTATTTGATGCATTTGCCTAGTATTATACAGTACATATCTGTTTATTTCTATTGGAATAAATGAATTAATGTGACTAGTGTTTCAAAACTTAAAAGTTCATCAAAGACCAAATAAAACTAACAGTCAAGAAAAGTCATATGTTGACCTACAGTTATGATTCCTCTCATTGTTGAACTGGGTTTCCCACTTACAGGTTGTGGTGGGATCTTCCATACTCCCAGTGGACAGATTCACTCTCCAAATTACCCCAACCATTATAGAAGTAATACGGAATGTTCTTGGATCATTCAAGTTGAAAAACATCACCATATCCTCTTGAATGTCACTGACTTTGACCTGGAACCTCCGGATTCTTGTATTATGGTAAGTGATAAAAATTTCAAGCATGATCATCAGTCAAACTTGGGTCAAAACTTTGTCAGATGAGTACATTTAGTGATTTAATTTGCTATGAGTAATTTCTTGTCAAATTATGAAAAAGCCAACCACTAGCACTTAAAATAAAAGAAAAAAAGATTTTTTTATAAAAAACAGAGCACGAGGTATACAGTGTCAAGTTTTATTTAGCAGCTCTATCTGCTCTATCCTCATTGACTTTCACTGTGTTTGTTACTCAGTCATTGGGAAATTGACAACAAATAATTTCTTTCTTTTAAATTTTTTTTCTGTATTTTAGGGAAGGGTCTATAGGGTGTTCAGGATCTCACTACTAGATTGGACTCGTAGTGATTTGCCTGTTTACAGCCTCCCAAGTGCTGGAATTACAGGCACACACCATCACACCCAATCTCAATCACATCTCACTGCGCCCCGGGGGCGGGGGCCGGGCCAGCATGGCAGCCTGGGTATAGAACCCCTGGCCCCTGAGCCTGCTTGCAGGCACTTTAATCCACTGAGCTATTTGGCCTGTTTGCTTGCATTCTATTCTTTTCTTTTCTTTCCTTCCCGAACATTCTTTGTGTGTCTGCATCTGGAGAAAGGAAGAAATAACAGTGTTGACTATTGCTGCTTTGTGTATTTGTGTGTGCATGTGACTTAATTAGAAAAGCAAAATTTCCACAACCCCTCTCCCATATCATTGGTCAGAACTGGCTACAAAGGAGATCAGAGGAGTAGAATAAAATAGATTTATCATAAGTAATTTAGATCAAATATCATCAAGCTCCTGAGGGTTCTCACAGAGTTCTGCTTTCCATGAGATCCAAATATCTTGATTTGATATTTGACCAAATCAATTTTTGTAACAGCCCTCATTGAGCCTGCACCCCAGTGTCAAGTGACTAGAAGCAAACCCCTAGTATACCACTAGGGTACTGAGTTCACCCACCACAAGTTGCTAAGCAACTATGATTATGAAGTCATGGAGATAAATTTCAGCAAAAAGTTACAAGTTATAAAAAAAAGATATTGTAAATATGAAAACAAACCCATTGAAAAATTAAAAAAATGATAAATTCTATAACTAAAATGAAGACCTCAGCCAAAAGTTTTTATTTTTGTTGTTATAAATTCTTTATCTAGGGGAGAGGTTAGACTGAAATGAAGAGATAAATAATGACCTGAAAAATAAGTTAGAAGAATCTGTATGGTAGGGTCAGCCAGATAGCTCAGTGGACTAAAGCACCTGCTTAGGCAGAGAACAGTGACTGGGGTTCGATCCCTGGCGTGCTGTGATGGCCCTGCCCGAGATGTGCTGAGATAGCAATTGAGACTGGGTGTGGTGGCCTGTGCCTGTAATCCCAGTGATGGGAGGCTAAAACAGAAGAATCACTATGAGTCTGGTCTACAAAGTGAGAACCTGTAGACCCTATAGACTGTGTCCTAAGTACAGGGAAAAAAAAGTCTGTAGGGTAAAAAGCAGAGATAATCGCACAGACTAAAAATTTAGAGGAGAGATTAAGACACATAAGGAATACATAGAAAAGGGTTAACATATATTTAATTAGAATCCTACAAGGAAAAGAGAGTTAAGTGAAACAAAAGCAATACTTAAAAAGCTGAAGATTTTTCCAAAACTGAAAGAAAACATCATTTTATAAAAAACTAACCAAAACGCTAAGCAGGATCAGTAGAAAGATACCTTTTAAAAACTAAAGATATATTATAAATAGTAAAATCAGCCAGGGTAGTGGGTGGTTGGGAAAATATACCTTTAAGAAAATAGCAGGCCAAATACTGACTTCCACCAAAAAAAGACAATGGAAGAAGTCTCTGTTTGAAGAAAGCAAATAACTATCACCCAGGAACTCTCTGCTCTTGGAAAATGCCTTGAAGAATAAAGGTAAACTAAACACTGAAGCAAAAGAAGGACTCTTCATGAGAAGGTATGATGAGCCAGAGGCAAGCTGCTCATAGCCGGGCGTGCAGGGGCATCTCTGACGACTTGCTCCCTCCCCGAGTGTGCATGATGTGGATTGCAGATGAGGGGGCAGTACAGCTTCTTCTCTTTGGGAAACTCCATAATCTACATAATGACTTCTCTTTAGGAAAATCTGTAATGCACAGAAGTCAACACACACAGCCTGTGACCAGACCGAGGTCAAAGGCACCGCCATCATAGATGTGTTGGTTTCCCTTTCGTGGGCAAGACAAGGGTTTTCCACCTCCATGGGGTGTAAGTACACAAGGTTTTCTGTTCACCGCAGCCAGATCTCAGCATGCGGCCCCTAGGGCTTGGTTTGATAAACTTAGCAGGAGGGAACAGATAGGGGAAGTGAGACTTCAAATATGATATGGTTAGAGGCATGGAAAGGGGAAAATAAACACATAGACAGGTGCTGGGAGGAGTTCAAAACACAAAATGTTATTGTTGTTGAACTGTTTCTCCAACAATTTGTAGTGGTAGGGAATCCTGTATAAAGTTGTCAGAATAGCCCAGGCAGCAGGCAGGAGGCATCAAGAAGCAGATACCTCAAGCCAGGATATACAAAAGGAACTCACCAGAGGTGAGATTCACTGGGATCCCACAGCTGAGCAATCTAACTCTGTGGTGGAATGGACCTGGGGCTGAGCCTGGACCCAGGCACTTACAACTGTGGTGCCTGAGAGAATGTTAAACTTTCAGCTTCCATTTTATTAAGTAGAATAAGAGAACCCATGACATATTTGTCTTTGGGATATTTAAGGCAATGTGGTGACTTGCTTGCTGTCAGTATAGAGCGTTTGTGGTTTGTGCTAGCCATGATCATGAGCTGCTGCTGCTGAGTGCTTGCGGAGGTGTGTGTTTAGTTACTCTAACATCTGCTCCTCTTTGGCTCTGGGCCTCAAACTCTTCAATGGGACTGTTGTCATGGTAGAGAAGCAAGCATTTAGCACTCTGAGAATTCAGTTCCCTGTCATCATAGCCATGGGAAAATGGCAGGAATGGTTCATTCACGCCTAGAAAGAGAAAAGGTTTCACACTAGTGGTGACATTTACGTGACAGAATCTCTCTAGTAGAAATGTGGCAGTGAGCTGGGTGTGGTGATGCATCCCTATAAGCCTATCTAGCTGTGAGGTTCAGGGAGGAGGGCTACATGTTTCAGATGAGCCTGGACAATTTAATGAGAGCATGTCTCAGAATAAAGTATGAAAACCTGGGGACATAGTTCAGTGGTAGAGTGCTTGCCCAGCGTGAGTGAGGTTGTGGGCTTAGTCCCCAGTAATGCAGAGGAAGGAAGGAAGAATGGAGGGAGGGAAGGAGGGAGACAGAAGGAGGAAAGGAAGGAAGAGTAGAAGGAGAATGGGAAGGTCAGTCGAAAACCGTAGAGAGAATGGTCACGCAGGACCCAAAGTGAAGCTGTGGTGAAGAGTGACCCATGGTGTCAGGGCCAGCAGAGGTCAGCTAGAATGCAGATTGAAACAAAGCCATTGGACTCATTCTTCACTAATCTGTAAGGGGAAGGTTTGGTGTGGGTAGTGGTGGAAGACTACAGATCAGGGTGATTTAGGAGAGGCAAGAGTTACTGATCTTTTCTACGGACGTCAAGAAATTAGTGGCCCATAGGAAGTAAAGCAAAATCCAGGAAAGTCGTTTCAAAAAAATAACAGAGAGGCTGAGATTATGTCAAGAGGAGAAGGTACTGATGGAAAAAGGGCAGCTGAGTGTAGCATGTAGAAGGAATAATTACAAAGTCATGTTAACAGGAAAGAGACCCAAAGAAGAGCCAGATTGGCCCCATAAACTTCATATTTGCAAAATGAGAAATTGGAATACGTGGCCTTAGCCTTTTTTTTCTGATTTATCAATTTATTTGTGCAGAAATTGTCTATAAGTTAAGTCATATTTGCTTATAGGATCAATTAAATTTACAACATGACAAAGAAATGTCTTTAAAAGTATACAAGTAAAATGCAACACAGATCCACAATCTTCCATCTGTAGCTGCCAAGTGGACTCAGTCATGGGGACAGGACACTCACAGTGGTTTCCAGTCAGGTGGGGTGATGCCCTGGCAAGGCTAGAAGTTTGGCTCCCAGCAAAGTCAGTTGTGCAGGGGATCATGAAGGCAGGCATTGAAACACCAGCCATCTAGCTTCAGGGCCAGATGGACACTGCCTGTGAAATGTACCCAAAAGTCCAATATCTTACATAATAATCTCAGCAGTTTAAGTTCATACAAAGCCAATCATTCATTTTGGGGACATTCAAATTAATTCCTTGGTCCTGCTGCTTAGAAAGAGTCATTAGCAAAGAGAAAAATAATGAGCTGCCAGTGGTGCTGTCGGATAAGGTTTCTATTCATAGGGTTTTTAATAGACCTCAAGTGTACCCTTCAATACTGAGGTAAATTGTGCTTAGATGGGCCAGCCAATGTTTTTTAAAACTTTTGTAATAGTTTATTTCTTATAGTAGAAATATTAACTTAAGGGCCATGTAGGTGACCGTCATAAACAACTCATAAATATATGGAATGCTAAAGTTAGAAAAGAGAGAAAAATGTCTCTCAATTTTATTTCTTTATTCAAAGAGAAATAGAGTTCAGAATGGTCAGGATGAAGAGTAGATGAAAATTAATAGCAAGGCCAGCACTAAAATAATGATTTTATACTTCCTAAAATAAGAGTATTTTGATAAAGCATAAGTTATGGCTACATGTAAGAAACTGAATAGCAAAATAAAGCAGACACAGAAAATTAAAAGAGAAAATAATATCAGGATTACTGTGGAGCCACTTTGACCTTCTATTCCAAATGAATACAAACTTCAGTTATCAATATAAGGAAAACTGTTAGAGACTTTTGACTTAAGCAAGTCAAAATATCATTGTTTCAAGTCAGTTCCATTCGTTCATTGAGTTTCTGGTGTCAGTTATATGCCAGACCTCGCCAAATCCTCGTTTCTAGTTGTGGCAACTCTATTCACTCTCTGGATGGCCTAAGG